TATGCACGCCGTGTTTTTTTATAATTCATAGGAAATTATTCTTTCCGACATCAAGTTGTTTTTCTCTCACACTAGCCGCCATCACTGAGAGAAACCCTCATGAAAAAGTGTTACATTTAAATAAAAAATATGACTGCGTCAAGACCGTCAAATCTATTCCAAGATTTGTAAAACCCTACGATGATCAAATTCAATATCACTATCAAACATAAGACAGGTGATTAAATATATGATATCGGTTCTTTTACAAAGATAGCATGCGCAAGATCTTCAACTCGGCCTCTGCCTTCCCTTCCCTTCCATCTTATTGCCCCATCCACTTGAAACCCACTCACTTCCACCTTCCATGGCTGCCGAGCTTCTGCTCGCCATCTCCCTCTCCCTCCTCTTCTTCCCTTTCTCGTCCTCCTCCTTCAGCTCAATCTTCATCTCCTGCGGATCATCCTCCTCTGTCAACGTCGCCAACGATAATCCTCCCCGCACCTTCACTCCCGACGGCAAATTCCTGATATCCTCTTCCAACTCCAAAACAAACTCCTTTTCTTCTTCCTCCGTCGCCCCGCTCTACTCCACCGCCCGCCTCTTCACCTCCGTTTCCTCTTACAGCTTCGACGTCGACGTTAACGCTTTCTACATCCTCCGCCTCCACTTTTTCCCTTTCAACTCCACCTTCAAAGCCCGATTCGATGTCTCCGCTCTCAACCGCTACCTCCTTCTGTCCTCCTTCTCCCCTAGTACCCCTTCCAAACCAGACGTAAAGGAGTTCCTTTTATGGGTCGAAAAATCGCCTCTTCTCGTCACTTTCTCCCCTTCCCCAAATAACCTCGCCTTCATTAACGCCCTCGAGCTCATATCTTCCCCTCCCAATCTCATCAACGGAAGCAAACCTACTTACATAACAGCTTCCGGTAGCTCTCAAGAAGATAACTTTGCCCCCCAGGCGATGGAGACTGTATACCGCGTCAACGTCGGCGGCCCGCTCATAACTCCGGCGAACGACACGCTCTGGAGGACATGGGAGAGCGACGATAATCAGTTCTTATTTAACAAAAACCTCTCCGTCGAAAAACGCACGACCGGTCAAATCGAGTATCCGACGGAGGAAGGCCTGACTGATGTAATTGCCCCTGAAATGGTTTACAGTACGGCGCGGAAAATGAACTTCGAGCCAGTCTCCGGCATGGCAAACCCAATCTTTAACATCACGTGGAGCTTCAACGTGCCGCCGGGATTCCAGTACTTTGTCCGGATGCATTTCTGCGATTTTTGGATTACAAGTCAGACCAATTTCTATTTCGAAGTCTACCTTGGGGAATTCATCGCGCATAAGGATTTGAATCCCGGAAATATGACGAGCTGGCGGACTATGATTCCATTCTATTTTGATTTCGTCGTCGACGCGCCAAGCTCTGGTCCTTTGAACGTTAGTATAGGGCCGGCTGCCAATAGTGTGCCGCCTGATGCTTTTCTGAATGGGTTAGAGATAATTAAGCTGAGTAATTCGCATCTCAGCCTCGCCGGTGAATTCGGCATATATGATAGCGGAGCAGGAAGCCACGGCGGCCATCATTTCTTGTCTATTTTACTCCCTTCCTTTCTTGGCGGTGTTGTCCTGCTTATTTTCCTGCTTTTCGTCCTTCAATTATGCTTACGCCGCCGCCGATCAAAACAAAATCTGGTTGAGGAACAGAAGGACACGACGAATGCATCATGGTTCCACTACAACGCAGGAGCAGGAGCAGCGAGCTTGGTTTTCAGAACGTCGAGCAAATCCACAACTGATCAAACACCTAAGAGCTCTGCTTCCCCGCGGCTTAATCTCGGCCTCCAAATATCGTATTCGGAAGTCATCTTTGCGACGAACAATTTCGATGAGAAGCTCGTCATCGGCGCCGGCGGGTTCGGGAAAGTGTACAAAGGAGTCCTCAGCGACGGCACAAAAGTCGCCGTGAAGCGCGGCGTGCCTGGTTCGCGACAGGGATACCCTGAGTTCCAAACAGAGATCGTCGTACTCTCCCGCATCCGTCACCGGTACCTCGTCTCCCTCATCGGCTACTGTGAGGAGCATTCCGAGATGATTCTGGTCTACGAATACATGGAAAAAGGCACCCTAAACAGCTATCTTTACGGCTCCAATCTCCCTTGTTTGTCCTGGAAACAGAGATTAGAGATCTGTATCTGTGCGGCGAAGGGCCTTCACTACCTCCACACCGGATACTCTCAGAGCATAATCCACCGCGACGTGAAGTCCACCAACATCCTCCTCGGGGAGAACTTCGAAGCAAAAGTCTCCGACTTTGGACTCTCCCGACTTGGTCCATCCTACGGGGAAACTCACGTTAGCACCGGTCTGAAGGGAACATTCGGCTATTTCGACCCTGAGTACTTCAAAATCCTGAAGCTCACCGAAAAATCCGACGTTTATTCATTCGGCGTCGTCCTCTTCGAAGTTCTCTGCGCTCGGCCTGCCATTTTCGACCACGTTAATCTCGCCGAGTTTGCGCTGCATTGGGTGAAAAAGGACCAGCTTGAAAAGATTGTGGATCAGCGATTGGCCGGAAAGATCAACGAGAACTCTCTGAGGAAGTTTAGTGAGACAGCGACCAAGTGTTTGGCCGATTACGGCACGGATAGACCGAGCATTGGGGACGTGTTGTGGAATTTGGAGTACGCGTTGCAGCTGCAGGTATCGGGGCTGTTGAGGGAGCCGTTTGAAGATAGTGGGATTGTGGATGAGTCGGAGGCTGCGTTTGTGGCGTCTGTTGGTAGGATGCCGTCGGCGACAAATGAAGGGGACGAGGAGGCGGAGGCCGAGGCGGAGGCGGCCTGGACTTATGAGTCAGAGACGACGACGAGCATGGTTTTTTCTCAGCTGGTGAAAGGGGAAGGGAGGTGATTGGTTTCATGTTGACCGGTATTGTCATGCTTTGTGCCCTTTTTAACGCTGAAAAGTCTGCGTGATATATTCCTAAAGAGTGAAGTGTACTATATTGTAATTGTATTAATGTAATAAACTTTGATCAATTTTCTGATCGCTAATATTAATATAAATAAAATATAATTCATGGCAGTACAAAATGATAGGGCTGTAAAATAGTAAATCGTTTAAATTTTTCATAATTTAAAGTGAGACAGAATAATAGCCTTGAAAGATTAGGTGCGCATTAGTCCAATTAACAAATACTTTAAGATTAGAAGCTATGTTTGTACAAAAAATATATTTTTTGTTAATGGGCTTGTTTGGCTGGAATACAAAGTGATATAGAGGTATTTTTTTTTTTTTGAAGTAAAGTGAATGCAATATAAAGCGGTCGGCGTTGTAGGGCGGCGGCGGCTGTGGGCTGCAGCGGGTGGGGCGATAGTGACAATAGTGAGCGATGCCAGCAGAGACAATTGGAGGCCGTTGTGACGGTTGTTCGTGGCAGCGACCGCTGTAGTGGGTGGCAAGCAACGACGGTGGCGGCCGACAGTAGCGGTGGTCATAGGTGGACGGTGACAGGTGGAGGTTGATAGTGGGGTGTCAATGGAGACGATGGTCATTGACTGTTCTTAAGCAAGCTTTGGAGCGTTGTAAATAGTTCTCGCTCAAAATAGGGAGAGAATAATTGATCTAAAAGATAAACAAGAATGAAATACACTGCATTTCATTTACTTTACCTTGGATTTATTTGTCATCCAACCAAGCGCCAAATTTGTCCAAACCCTTACATTCACTTACAACCAAACAACCCTATAAAATATTTCAAATGTAGAGGTTTTGAAAATTTAGAGTCCGATCGAAATTCAAAGTAGAGCAAAGCAAAGTAAATATAGTGTAAATTATTTTATTTCATTTTTGAAGTAAACCAAATCGCACGTTTTGAGCATGAAAAATTTACACCACAAGTAAGCTCGCTTGACCGTCGCCCACCACCACCACCATCCACCGCTGCCACCACTCATCATTGCCGGCCACCACCAACACCATTGCCACCGACGAATGCCACCATCCCACCCACCGGACCACCGATGGTCACCTTGGCCACCGCCGTCGCCGCCACCATCCACCACCTTTTTTTGACTTTACACTACATTCATTGCTTTAAACCAAAGAAAAAATTATTCATCTGAATTAATTTTACATTCATCCAAATAACTTCAAAATAGTTCTTTTACATTGTATTTCTTCTATAATGCATTCCTTTTACATTGTATTCATTGTTTAGCCAACCAAACAACCCTTACAAATTTCTAATTTCTATTCTATTTTTTTCCTTTACAAGAAGGCCCAAATTATGGCTAAAATGCTCTAAAGGCTTGTATTAATTAAAAAAAAATTATGTGAGCATATTTTAATTGAATTTATAGTATGAATTTAAAAGTTAGGAAATTTACATTGAAATTAATAAAAATCTTATTTATCAAAATATTTACTGTGAAAGAGAGATGAAGAAAAGGTTAGGAGATGCATTCACCACGATCACTATAGAAAAATTATCTATTATCGACGGCATTTTCTGACTGAAATTGGTCATTTTTGGTGGTTTTAAAATTTACCGGTAAAAAATTTCCGTCAGTAAAACCAGCGTAGGAAAAATATTACATTATTAAATTAATAATCAATTAAATAAACTATTTATTATTAATTAATTAAATCACGAATATATGATTTTTCAGAAATTATTAAAAGCTACCTAAAAAGCCTCTAGAAACTCCACCGGAAACAAAATCGCCAGAATGCCGAAAATTCTTCAGAAATATTAGGACGTCGAATTACCATCAGAAAGTCGTTAGAAAATAGTCCGCCAGAAAGCCGCTGGAAAAAATCCGTTAGTAATGGATGATTTTCCTATAGTGAATAGTTATGCATAACTCATGAATGACTTTCCACTTGTTTTGAAGAATTACGCTTGTCTTGATCCCTTGAGAAAAGGGTACGCATGCAACCATCTAGATGCAGTCGTTTTGATATTGGAGTATGGTTTGTCATCTTCCACTTTTTAAAGTGAAAGATGATATAGAGATTATTGATTTGAAATTATTTCCAAATCTAAATAAGCTTTTATTTGGAAAGCTTTAATAACTAATTATTGTAATTGATTAGTGAGTGGATTGTTTCCTTGATTAATTGATATGATTGGAGGCGTGATTGCTGAACTAATTAAAGTATTTAATTATTGCATAAATTGGGTGATTTAATTAGTTTGATTTGTAAATCTAATTGATAGGATTAGATTTTGCCATATTATAGGATTACTTGAAGTTTTCTTTATAATATTGTTTCAAATCTTTAAGTAGAGCTTGATTATTATAGGCATGAGAGAGAGAGAGAGAGAGAGAGAGAGAGAGAGAGAGAGAGAGAGAGAGAGAGAGAGAGACTATTGTAATCCATATTGTTCTCCAATATAGTGAATTCATCATCTTCTCCTCGTGGACATAGGCATCTTCCTTGAACCACTTAAATTGTCATTTCATTTGTGTTGCTTGTTGTGTGATTTATTGTTCCACTGTGTTTATTGCACAACACACGTGACCACCGTCGCTTTATTATAATTTAATCATTGGTTCTTAACTATGATCTCCTTACTATTATCACCCTAACTAGCTACACCTATGTTGTTTAGCTTTATAGACAACTTTCATCAATAGCATCAACATATGATATTGCCTATACGGTTGATGCACATCATTGGCATCAACTCTTACTTCTGACATTAAAACCAAAATTTATGCCGAACTTCTTAGTCTCTGATCTCCCCCCTCAAAAAAGAATGACCAAATTGACACCAAACAACCTCTTAAAGATAGTTCCCATGCCATAGGACTCTTCCAATTATTATCATAAAATTCTTTCTATACAAATTATGTCTACTATATTTGTATCAACGCTTCTCCTAATCATAGGAAAGTACATTCATTTAATCAATAAAATACGCTAGTGGAATCATTTCATCAGCTAGATCATGCCCTATAAATTTTCCTTTTTTTCGAATTTATCACATAAAAACTCTAGTATCTCAATCAACTTCTCTTTTAATTATAATTTAATTGATTTACGGCGAAGCTCAATGTTTGTTTAGCTATAAAAATAATATTAATAATAATTTCAAATATTTTACTTCTATTTTTTCATATAGCTGATCATGTTTGGTTGATTCTATTTCGGTCAAAGATAAATCACAAATATGATTCTATAATTAAACTCGCAATGTTGTATGATTGTACGGACATGAAAAAAAAAAAACTTACAAGAAGAAGCCCCGGAACCTTAAGCGGGTGGAGCACTGCCCCCCTTGCAAGCCCCTAGTGAACTCGATCGATGGTATTTAGGATTGAGATAATAGTAGAGCCCAGTTGATCAATAAAATCAGAATCCACACAAAACTAACATGAGTACTCTGAGTGGCGGTGTGGCTGCATGTAGGATTTAAGAAATTCTATAAATTTGGATTTGCTAAATTTTCTAAGATAGTTAAGACTCTAAAAAAGTGTTTGGTAAGCTACGCATTAAATGTGTTTAAATTTTGACGAATTATTTGACTATTTATTTTAGGATCTAAGTCCGAAACCAAGGGTGGAATCACATTAAATCGAGTTTTACTTATAAGACAAATTTTTTTATTGTTTTTTAAAACAAATTTTTTATAGAAAATTTCTCTAAAAAAAGCTTTTCACTGTTTAAAAAGAGTAAGAAAGTTCTCCCAAACCGCCAAACCAAACGAAAAGCTTTCATTTAACAACACTTTAAACGAAGACTGTATGGGCGGACTTATACAATATGCTACATATATAACATCTCTGTAGCAATTTAGAAAAAAAACAAGAGATTGAATGTTCATACCACCATACCGTTATTCTCTAAATATGACAATAATATTTACATAAAAATTATTCACCTTCAGCTGTTCAAATCTAAAGAAAAAGTCTTAAAAAACGTTAATCATCTTCTTCTTCCTCCTGCGGATCATCCTTTTCTTCAAGGATTTCATATGCTCGATCCAGTAACATATCCATATAACGAGCAAATGCGTCTTTGCGTACTTCCAGATGCATCTCTACCTGTAAATGATTAGCCAGAGATTGCTATACATAAAAATTTTAAGTCCTCCAATGATTAATTTGAATGCTTATGTTGTCATATTTTTCTGCGTAAAAGGAGAAGAACGATAACTTTGTTATTGCAGATCTTCTACTCTTCATCTAGATACTTGAAAATTTAATTTTTATATCTATATATGCGCCTTAAATCCTGCAGGAACAGCAATTTTTGTTCCGTTTGTAAGCTTTTGCTAGCTAACCAGGGCTGCCATCCCAATATCAGTTGCAATTTATACGTCGAAGATTGAGAGAAAGAGAAAGATAGAGTGAGAATGTGGAGTGCCTCTGCGTAATGCTTTTGCAGACCAAAAAAATCAACACAGTCTCAATGCATGTCTATGCATCCTTTCATATACAATAGGAAACCTGATATTGCATGTGAGGAGGACCTCTCTCTCTCTCTCTCTCTCTCTCTCTCTATGAAGAAAAAAACCATCAGATAATGATGAAGAGAAGGTAGGTCTAAAGTTCAGGTTTACCTCTGATTTCGGTTGTTCTATCTTCTCCTCATCAGAACTATATGCATCCATCGTTTCCCTCTCAAGATCTGAACTATGTTAGCTTCTCCTTAGAATGTTCAAAGCTAACTCGTCTATCTCCAAATATATAAGCTAGAGAAGTCAAAAGATCGAAGGTCGTACAATTGGTCAATCATGGCGTCCATGCATTAACGGACACGGAGTAACAAACTAAAGCAACAGCATGTTTTTTCTATCTTAATTAGTTCCCTATCGTGAACATATTCGTAGAACAAGCTCCGGCCATGGCCTGCAGAAGAAGAAAAGCCAAATCATCTCCTTTCATAAGTTCAAATCAAGCCACAATCAAGCTGAGCTTTTTCCAAATGGAAACTATATATGTCTTTGTTACCAATGGATAAACTCCAAACAGGATCTGGGTTAGAGATTTTTACTCTATATGGGAATCCATATAGGTTTGGGTAACCGTTCATTTTATTTAATCCTTATACAATTGTGTAAGTGGTTAGACTAATTG